AAGCAAAAAAGGGTTTACCTCTGAGTGATTGTTGTTTTGGAGAGGGGTACAACCCAGATGATCTGGTCCTTCTCTTTCTACATATAAAGAAAATCGCACATAACACCACCATGATCACCAAAATAAACACCAACTGGACGGAGTCGGCGGCGACTCCGTCTGTTTCGGAGGCACTTCTTGCCTGTGAAGGAGAATGAGGTGATCCGAAGCGGCGAGTGCGAAAAATGAGAGTAAGGGGCCCCAGTTCCCAAGAATACATGTTGGCAAGGAGACTATCCAGGCACAAGCAATACTCTGAAGCAGGAGGCCGAGAGCGAAGAATTGCTGAACTGGTGCTCTAGCAACCAACAAAGGAGACATCGATCTCCCTAGAACCATTTTACAGCCTTTTTTTTTTTTTGTCCTCACTCGGTTCGAGCTTGATTTTTCCACGTAAATGCCCCACTTTTCCACACTCGTCACAAATTATTTGTAAATGCTCCTGTGGAATCACTTGCCTAACTATTTATAAGCATGTTTTAAACAAAACTCTTCTTCTCATGCATTTATTTCATATAGGGTAAATTATAATTGGAATTTTGTCTATAAACTATTAGAAGGATTAATTTGCAAAAAAAAAAGATAAATATTAGAGATACAGTAAAAGAATAAATTAAATATCAAATTAGCTTTTATATTAAAGACAATAGTTGTACTCTTATGTTTGAAAATTATATTAAAAAGAGTAGGACTATTCTTAGGAAGTAATACTTTCCTCCGGATTCATACAGCTTATAAAAGTTCGAGAAAACCAAAATGAAAAAAAAGTCACACTTGTACAATGGACCAGCAGAAATCTTGCAACAAATATTATATATACATATCAGTTATATATTACTCATTCTTATCTTTAATATAAGATTTACTTAACTAATTTAGATAGATTGAAAACATTAGTTAAATTATTTATTTGACAAAAATATAGGTTGGTTTTTATAAAATACTCGCTTAAATAATTTGCATTAAAACTACTCTGGATACAAACTCTTAACGTGCGCAATCGATATAGATGGTTTAAAGAAAATCATAACTATAATGGACATAATGGACTGAGATTTTATATTTAATTTCAAAAGATCAGTAGCTTTATAGTATGAAGCGGAGATAATATTAAAATGTTACCTCTAATCCTTAATATAAAAACTGGTTGGAGATTTGATTTCGTCTAAAATTTAAGACTCGAATACACGTTATTTCTTATATTTATTTATTTTTTCTCAAAATAATCCTTATGGTAATTGTGTATTTAAAGGTGGGTTCCAAATACATATTATTTACAAAGGTATTTTAGAAAAAACAATACTTATTTATTATAAGTAACTAATTTAACTATTTTTCTTAATATTCATAAATTAATTATTCAACAATACTTATTTATCAACAATACTCGAATATTCAAGTTTCATAAATTAGCTATACAAGTAAGGTTTGCCCAGTTCTGTGTATGCATAATTGGTATCTTCAACCAGTCATCATTCGAAATCAATCTGAACTTGTTATAGTCATTAGTTAGCAGTAAACACCCTCTGGAGTCCGCATATGGTCCTGTAGTTTTATATTGTTAATGAATTAAACTTTAAAATTATCGTTAACTTTGATCAAGATTTATAAATTTTTTTGTAGGTGACATATATGTGATAGGTTGAAATAAATGTGTCCTAACCATGATGTAAATTGACCCAATTGCATTCTCAAAGATCCCGAATTTCATATGGGTGCTAAAAAATTTCATAAAAGTTAACCATAATTTATATGACACTTTTTCATTTAATAGGTGAGGCGTCAAGTAAAGCTTTTGTAGCAGTGTGAAAAAACTATATAACCTTCATCCAAGTATATTAATAGATAGGATTACCTATTAATTTGTCATACATACTAGGTAGTTTGATATTTACCCCTGGGGATATTCCAATGTATATATTTTTCAGTGCAGGGAAAAAATTGCTAAATTGAGATTGAAAAAAAAAATCGAAATCATGATTGTGATTTTGTGAAAATTGTCTTCTACATACTCCTCTGGTCCTATTATAGGACAGAGAGAGGATTTTTTTTAGTCCTATTTATAAATCATTTCATTAAATTTTCAGTGTGAATATATTATTTCGTCTTTTATTTATTATAATATAGATAATTATCTTTTTTTAAAGATGTATATATTAAATATGGGTGAACTTAGAAAGATATTATATTTTAATGAAGAGTTAATGTATTTTAAAGTTTTTCTTGGTATATGTGAATAGAAGTGCCTTATAAATAGGACCGAGGAGTAACTAAGTTTTTCACACACTAATTGGGCATTGCCGACAAAAATAAATATCAATTTTAGCATTTCAAGATAGATGTGTTTTTTGTCCCGTTTTCTAGAATATGGAGAACACTTGAAGAGAGAAAGACAAACCAATGAAAATCTTAATGGAGAAAGACAATTTGCGAGCACTATAACGTTAAGAAGCTAATATTATTATTATTATTATTTTGTTGTAACCCACATGTACACACACATTATACTTTTTGTAAAATGTTGGTACTTACAACTTCGCATTTAAGAAAAATTTAAGAGAGAATTTTAGTATCATTGGGTTATTGTTTGCCGTTCACCTTAATAGCAGGTGCACGGGTCGCAAGTACTATAAAAAGTATCGTTTCCTTAAAAACTAAGATGAGATGAGCTAAAAATTGCAACTGTGTTCATGATTAGGTTAAGTGGAATTAATGTGTAAATGAAGTTGTTTAAGGTATTTTGAAAACAAAGGTAACAATCGAAGCAAAATAAACTTGACTTTGAGACAAATAAGGATCTAGGATTATTTCTCACTATTATACTTCATAAAACTTGGTTAGAAACTTCTCATTTAATGTTTTAATGATAAATTAAGTCAGCCCAAGGTTCACAAATATTGATTAAGCTTTCTTAAGTCAAAACCAAAGTTTGTAATCTTCATAAAGCTTCACAATCTCTTGCTTTCGTTGGAAAGATTATGCTTTGAAAACCAAAACCCTTTTGAATAATGCTAGATCAATAGATATATCTCTATTCTACCAATAAACTATCCATTTAATGACATAAACTTCTAGTCTAGCATGTTTTTACCAAAGTTTAAAGATTGATTTAACTTTTTCAAGCTTCAATTAATCAAATAAATCACTCAAGTGGCGGCCAATCACAAGGAAGCACTGTGCTCAAGATAAAAACAATATAACATTATCATTAATAGTAAAGAGAGAGTTAAAACAAGTCTTAATCCATGCAATAGATTAAAATAATCTTAGAATGACTACTCTAACTACACGTGTTCAGTAATAACCACAAATACAAGGATATTTTATGATCATTACAAAAATAAAGGAGAAGAGAAGAAGAAAACGAAGAAAATGAGGAAAGAAGTTCCAAATCTCTTGCAAACTTCAAGCCCAAAGCTCCCAAGCCTCAAAATCTCCAAACTCTAGTGGAGAACTCCTCCAAATAGGTACCTAAATCGAAATCTGGTCGACAATCATGAGTTTTCCCTTTTATATACCCTAAATTTTAAATTACAATGCAAAACGCATAGTTACACAGGGACAGGTGCCACGACAGATTGTATCATCCGCTGCAGTAGATTACACAGAGAGAGAACTCTTTGGAAGGGATTAGGCATTGTGGGGGATTTATCCAGATGCTATGGCACCTAGTACAGAATGCCTCTCATTCTTTTTGCTTCAGGTGCCATAGTGGATTGCTTCAAGCACCGCAGTGGATAGAGTGTTCTTGGCGTTCTTCGCCTGGTTCTTTGATTCTTACTCGCTCTATGTCGATGATCTTCCTTTGGTCAATCAATGTAGTTAAATATTTCTCCTTGTCATTCATCTCCCAGCTCTCTCTATTTACTACACCAAGAATTTTAAAAGCATTGCACAAATAATCTCTAAATATTAGCACAAATCAAGTTTCACATTTTTAAATCATATTTTTCAGCTTTAAAAGAATAACCCCACACAATTAGCTTTCAAGAGGTTATAAGTTATAAGTCCCAAATATTGAATCGGTGCGCATAGACCCCTATTTCACTTGATTGGTCCAACCTTAATAAACCATCCAACTTAGCAGTTTTCCTTGAAGGAGTTTCCCATGACCAAGAGTATAATTACGTCCAATATGAAATATATATTACCTGAGGCTGAGCCATGCAAAAGTAAATTTAAATAAAACAAACAGGACCAACATATATAAGTTGGAGCTCTTATCTTCTAAGTAAATAGTTACAGGTTCAACGTGTATGGACTTAAATCAAATGGAGGTCCATCGAACCGATCTAAGACCATGCCTCTAAAGAGCCTTTTTTTTCAAAGATGTATCCAGTATTCCGAAGTATTTTTTAGATGCGCTCAGCATTTTTAAGTATTTTTTTTGCATTGATACTAGATGTATCAACAAATATTTTTGGGTACTAGACGCATTTAAAAAAAATACTTTGATGTGCTGAATGTACTAGAAATACTTCATGGTGCTGGATGCACTTAAAAAATACTTTAGGATGTTAGATATACCATAAAATATTTTAGAGTGCTGGATGCATTTGAAAAAAAAAATACTAAATGCACCTTCACCCTTTAAAAAAAACACAATTTCTATCTAATTAAGGCCAACCCTCCAATGGAAAGTCCCTGAAAGAAAGAAAAGCAGAAGAATATGATTTACCATGTGGAGACTGCTGGTTGCATAAGCTATTAATTAAATCTATTCATTTGCATAAATCTATAATTTACCCAATAATTATTTTACTGCAAACCCACATATTAATTCATTTATTACATATATAATTATTCCAACACATAGAAGTTCAAAATATATGTATATATATAAATATATAATGAAACCATCAAATCAAAGCAAGTGGAAATCACACTGCTGAAAATAAATAATTTGGCGTAAATGGGTTTCTGGTTTTGAATCAAATTATGTAACCGCGGCGGCTGTGCATTTAAGTTCCCAGCGCTATCCTTCTCATCGTCCCCGCGTCTTCCTCGCGTTGACGTCGTGCGATGGCTTCCTTAGCGAAATCATTATCCAGGCCAGTCGTTTCGTCTGATAAAGTTTGAACCACCTGCGTGCTCCGTCACATTAATTAAACTCAACCTTGTTCCCTTGAGAAAATCATTTCTCAACATAGTTACAAGGCATCCTAATTTTAAAATGCAAAAACATGGAACCTGGCTCATTTGAGGACGACATTTGTCTGATTCCCGAATGCAACTATCAGCACATGAAACCATTCGAAACATCTGTTCACGGTCGTAATTATTCTGCAACCTTGGATCAGCAAGAGCCTTTAATTTTCGACCTCTCGAATTCAAGGCTTCGGGGAGTCTAGGTCTTGCCTGCAATTTCAAATATTCATTATCAGTAATCTAAGATTTTTTTGTTCAGCGCCATTATTTCTATTGAAATTTGAAATAGCTGATGGCACACTAGTAAGGTTTGCCCAGTTCGGTCAATGCATGCTTGATATATAACTTGAACTAGTTATGTCATCGCAGCTAATCTGAAAACCACTTGAAGAGAAAAATAAAGAAACAAAAAACCCGGAGTTAAGAGTGAAAGAACGTTTTATGAACATTAATGCGGCCCAATTCTGTTATCTAATGTCAGATCGTTCGTCTCCAAACAAATCTGAACAAGACATACTATAAACAGGAGAAAATATATATTGACGAAGAACTGTACAAACCCATTCAACCAAGCTTCCTGTTAACTTATCATGAGCTTTTCGTCCTGTGATCAACTCCAGAAGCACAACACCAAAGGCGTAGACATCTGACTTCTCACTGCTTCTCCCGCTTGAAGCACACTCTGGAGCTAAATATCTGTGTTCCAGTGATACATATAGCAGAGCTTCTTAGAGATTGAAATAAACAGTTCATGGAAAATGGGGGCAATTAAAAAGAAAAAAGTACTGTCCAATGGGAATCCTTTATGGCATATGCATTGTGGGATGAGATTCAAAAGAGAAGATTATAAAAGATCATCAGACTAAGACTTACCCAATGGATCCCGTGAGTTCTGACAGAAGGACGTGGCTGTCAGTCTCAGGTAAAAGTCGTGCAAGTCCAAAGCCTGCTATCTGATTAATAGATACAAGCACACATAATTATTTTGTTGTAGATGTAACATATATCGATATTCAAAGTGCCGCGTCGGAACTCAAGACGAGCGAAGTCCAGTGACTTTGTAATACGTTAATATGGTAATTGAATGGACTCTTTGGCGCGTGAAAACAATTTGAAATTCCTCGTAATACTATTTGTCAACTATGGAAACGAGATTGTGAATTCAAACTTTTTTGAATTGCATGATTTTGATGAAAAAGCCATCTTCCCATCTATTTAATTTGCAATTGTATATATATTTCCATTTCATACCAAATCCAAGGGTGTTTGCAAGGAAAGTCAGATTTGTTTTGATTGAAAATCTAAGGGCCTAGGAACTTGCGTTTGTGTGGACCTACATATTCAATGGTTATAAAGTCACCGGAGAGACCTACCTTTGGCTCAAAATCATCAAGAAGAAGAATGTTGTGTGGTTTGATGTCACGGTGTATGATTGTGAGTTGACCTAAAACGAAACCAATATTATTGGACTGAAAAAAGGACGATTGCAGGAGTAATAAAGTCAATCAACTAAGATTTCTACAGTTGGGAAATTTCAGGTAAACTCACAGCCTTCATGAAGATATGCCAATCCTTTTGCAGAGCCAATAGCAATCTTCATCCTTGTTTCCCAGTCCATAGTTTCTGGGCCTCTTTCTGAACGATTTTATGCATCCTTAGTATTTTTATGACTCGTACATAAGATCAGGCCAGATATCAATTCCGCTAGAACAGATATACTTACGGACGATTTATAATATGCAAGTACCATATATCTACTCTCTTTTCATAACAGACGCTGATTCACTAATTCATGTAGTAACCCAAAAGAACAAATTTACTAGAGGAAACAAGTGAGGGTTAATATCGCATTGCCCAGATTATAATAATTATTCCTTTATGAAAATGGGTCCAAGTCTTACCATGCAGGTGGGATTGTAATGAACCATTTGGGATGAACTCATAAACAAGCAGCATGTCCATCCCACGGGCTTCATCTTCATCAATGTAGTAACCAACGAGGGAAATAATATGTCTGTGGCGGACTTGGCTTATGACCATGATTTCATTCTCGAGCTGCTCCCTTGCCCGTACGTTAGAATTTGCCGTCTTAACCGCAACAATTTTGTTATCAGGAAGGACTCCTTTATAGACGGTGCCCTCTTTGCCGAGTTTTTTTGACTTTGAGAATCCATCTGTTGCCAATTCTAATTCCTCATATGTAAATAGTCTTGGTGCGCCTGTGCTGTCCAAGGCTCTGGGAGTAGATCGTGATCGACCTGCAACAAACGTGTAACAAATCAAGTCTAGATCCACTGTAAGTGGATCCACATAGGACAGGGTTTAAAGTTGTTGCAATAATAATTGGGACTGCAAAGGAACATATAGGGCCTGTTTGGGTGCTCCAAAACCGTGGTTTCAGAAGCACTTTTCCACAAAACGAGGTAACCTCCTCCACATATTTACTTCGTAATCTGTAAAAGCACTTCTAAAACCATGGTTTGGTTTCTATCCAAACACTCCTATAATTTTGAATTTAACCGTACCTAGCTGTGCTCCACGGCTTTGTGACTCTGGATTTCCAGCATTGGCGGTTTGGTTGGATCCTGCAAGGCACAACAGTAACTGTCGGATTTATCATACTTCATTAAAAGTCGTTACTTGTCATGATTTCCATTTTCGTTTGGATATAGCAAACAAATTCCAACGGTTTGGTTGGATTCTGCAATAATGCACAGTAACAATAGTATTGAAAGAGGTTTATCATACTTCATTAAAAGTTGCGAGCACTTTTCAAGAATTTCATAAACAATGAATTCTTTTGGATATAGCAAACAAATGCCAAGAAATTTAGATCGAGTTGGCTGAAAAGTCCTCAGGATTGCATTTCAATTGCGCCATTATCAACAGATAATTTTAAATTTAGCCGTACGTACCTTGTGCTCGAGAAGGCTCAGGCTGGGCTAATGGCTGGACTTCTCTTCTTGCACATGGCTCGTTGACCAGCAAAGGATTTTCCTCATTTAAGATTTGGCTGGGTTCTGCAGTGCGCAGTAAGAATCATATTGAAAGAGCCCAACGAGTTTATCATAATTCGTTAAAAGCTAACTTTCAAGAATTTTATTCCACTTTTTTACTCGTTTAGTTTTTAATTTCTCGAAAGATATAAACTAATTTCTCAATAATTATATAATTTTATTTTAAAAACATTGAAACATAAATTCCTCCTAATTGTTCAAAGAGGCTCACACATTTAATTAAAAGTTACATTTTCAGAATTTCATTTTAAACAGCAATAAACGATGAATTCTTTCTTCTTGTTCTTTTTCTTTTTCTTTTTGGAATAAGCATATGTATCCTTCTTCTTTTTTCTTGATACACTTAATTTTTAGGAAAGGGGTCGGGCTCACCCACGATCCAAGGGCAGGGCTCCTAACGCTTGATCCACTGGGGCCTGTCCCTATGGGCACGGGAGCATGACAAGCAAGCCTTTTTTTTCTGGCCCAAAGGTAGGAATCACCCAGCTTCACTACGCTTGTGGAGATGCCTCCCCCAGCGCCGCGACTGGAGCCACAACAAAGTGGCATTCCCCAGGATCGAACCCCCTCCCTTTGGTGAGAGAGTCCGACCCCTTCGCCAGCTGAACCCATGGACGAGGGGTAGCATATGTATCCTTCTATGAGAGACAATCCTATTCGAGATACTGTTGGGTACTAAATGTGGCAACTTCTCCCAATTGTGAGGGACTAACCCATTGGGCTAAACCCAATCCCCATTAGTGAACGATGAATTCTTTTGGATATAATGACAAAGGAAATTCAGCAACTCCAGATCAAGTGGCCGGGGTACTACCAATAGCAGCTAAACTGAAGGGGAAGCAGCTGATAACTTTGAATTTAACCTTACCATGCTCTGCTTGAAAAGACACGATCGGGGCTGACTGCTGGGCTGGGCTTCTTGAGCTTGGCCTGTTGACTGGCAAAGGATTTCCATCATTAGCAATTTGGTTGGATTTTGCAGGACATGATAATTAACAACCACATTGAAATTTGAATTTAACTCAAGAGATAGTGCAAGGTAATGGCTTGCCACCACTTCCCGCAACGCAAAGTAACAATCGTAATGAAAGAATTTCATTGTGGATGGCAACAAACAATGAATTATTTTCCATATGGCATACAATACCCATAAATTTAATTAGATCGAGTTGGGTGGAATGTTGTCCTAAGGACTTCATTTCTATTGTGTAATTTTAGATAAGGGTTAGTGGAATCTAATGGCTTGTCTTGGCTTCGTGAGGATTACTTATTGACCAGCGAAACGTTTCCACCGTTCTTGATTTGCTTGGGTTGTGCAAAGCATTGTAACAACCATATTGAAGGAGGCTAACAAATTTATTTTTCAAAAGAAACAAATTGTGTTCTTGATAAGTATGCTATTTTAATTTCAAAACATAGAACTTTTTTTTTTGTGATAGTCAAATTTTGTCTCGAAAGTTTTCACATAAAACTCATGGGTGTTGAAAAAAACAATGAATTCTTTTGAATATAGCAAACAAATACCAATAGATCTAGAACAAGTTAGGTAAAAAGTCGTCCTCATCATTGCATTTGGATTGCGTCATCATCAATAGAAAATTTTGAAATTTTGAATTCAACCCTATCTTGTGGTGCTTGAGGAGCCACAGTGCAGGTTAAATGGCATTTTAGATGGATTTTGCAAGGTACAATAATAACAATATTCAAAGAAGCTAAGAGATTTATCACACTTTATTAAAAGTTGCTTTTTCACTAAAAAAATAAGACACTTTTCAAAAATTTCATTTTTGATGGCAATAAACCATGATATCTTTTACATATAGCAAACAAATTCCAACAAATCTAGATCGAATTAGTCCAAAAGTTATTATGAATTGTAACATAATCAGCAGATAATTTTGAATTTAACTTGGCCTAGTTATGCTAGCAAACGCACAATGTGGGCTAATGGCCTGCCACGGCCTCTCACAAGGCACAGCGATAGCCCTATAGAGAGAGGTTATCAAATTTATCACTCCTCATTTAAAGTTACTTTTCCAAAATTTTATTTTTGATAGCAAAAAATACGGGGGAATTGCAATTAGGTCTCAAGGAAGGGATTTAATTACTCTAAAATCTTCATGGCAAGTGAGAAGTATAAACTAGTTATCATTTCCTACACTGGAACTCGTCATTGCACGCTCTTCAGTTGTTAAGGGATTTTAGGATAATTAAATCCCTTCCTTGGGACTTGAATGCAATTTCCCCAATAAATACTAATTAGTTCAAATCAAGTTTGGGGAAGAGTTGTCCTTGTTAATGCATTTGAATTGCGTCATGATCAACAGGTGATTTAGAATTCAACCTTACCTAGTGGTGCCTAAGGAGGCACGATGCTGGCTGATCGCTTGTCTCGATTGATTCAACAAGGCAATGTAACAACCATATTGAAAGAAGCTAAGAGATTCATTGAACATCATAAAAAGTTACTTTTCAAAAATTTCACTTTGGGTGGCAATAAACCATGAATACTTTAGGACCAACAAATCTAGATTTAGTCAATCCAAAGGTTATCATTTGGAATGCATTTGAATGTATCATAATCAACAAAATTTTGAATTTAACCTGACCTACTTGTGCTGGAGAAGGCACAATGCAAACTTATGTCTTAACACAGCTTCTCAAAAGGCACAATGACTACCATGCATAGAGCGGCTAATAGATTTATCATGCCTTATTAAAATCTGCTTTTCAAGAATTTCATTTTGGACAGCAATAAATAGTGAATTCTCTTGCACGTAGCAAGCAAATACTAATAAATTTAGATCAAGGTAGGTGAAGTGGTGTCCTTTCTATTGCATTTGAAATGTGTCACAGTTAATAAATAATTTCAAATTCAATCTTACCCAGTGGTGTTGGAGGACGCTCAGTGTCAACTGATCTCTCATCTCGGCCTCTTGAGTGTTCGTTTTTTCCTACCAATTGATTTCCACCATTGGCATTTTTTATTGATTTTGAAAGGCAATGAAACAACCATATTGAAAGAAGCTAAGAGATTTATTGTACATCATTAAGAGTTACTTTTAAGAAATTAGACTTTGGGTGGCAATAAACCATGAATTCTTTTTTATCAACATATCTAGATTTAGTCAGTCCAAAGGTTGTCATTGGAAATGCATTTGAATGTGTTACAATTAACAAAATTTTGAATTTAACCTAACCTACTTGCACTTGAGAAGACACAATGCAAGTTAACGTCTTAACACAGCTTCGTAAAAGTCACAACAACTACCGTGCATAGAAGGGCTCACAGATTTATCACACCTCATTAAAAAGCTACTTTTCAAGAATTTCATTTTGGATAGTAATAAACAGTGAATTCTTCTGCATAATACAAGAAATAGTGGTAAATCCAAATCAAGGTAGGTGAAATGGTGTCATCTCTATTGCATTTGAATTTTGTGATGATCGATAAATAATTTGGAATTCAATCTTACCTAGTGGTGTTGGAGTAGGCTTGGTGTCAACTGATTGCTTGTCTCGGCCTTTTGAGTCTTCATTTTTTCCTGGGAATTGATTTTTACTATTGGCATTTTGGATTGATTTTAAAAGGCAATGTAACAACAATATTGAAAGAAGCTAAAAGATTTATCGCACATCAGTAAAAGTTACTTTTTAGAAATTTCACTTTGGGTGGCAATAAACCATGAATACTTTTAGACCAACAAATCTAAATTTAGTCAGTCCAAAGGTTACCATATAAAATGCATTAGAATGTGTCACAATCAACAGAATTTAAAATTTAACCTGACCTACTTGCACTTGAGCAGGCACAATGCGGGCTAATGTCTTAACATAGCTTCTCAAAAGGCACAATGTCAACCATGCATAGAGGGGCTAATAGATTTATTGTAAAGAGCTACTTTTCAAGAATTTCATTTTGGATAGCAAGAAACAATGAATTCTTTTGCACATAGCAAGCAAATATTGATAAATCTAGATCAAGGTAGGTGAAATGGTGTCCTATCCATTGCATTTCAATTGTGTCACGATTGATAAATAATTTTTAATTCAATCTTACCCAGTGGTGCTGGGGGACGCTCAACGTCAGCTGATCGCTTATCACGGCCTCTTGAGTCTTCATTTTTGCCTGGCAATTTATTTCTACCATTGGTATTTTGGATTGATTGTGAAAGGCAATATAACAACAATATTAAAAGAAGCTAAGAGATTTATCGTACATCATTAAAAGTTACTTTTCAAAAATTTATCTTTAAGTGGCAATAAACCATGAATTCTTTTACACTAACAAATCTAGATTTAGTCAGTTCAAAGGCTATCATTGGGAATGCATAAGAATGTGTCACAATTAATAGAATTTTGAATTTAACCTGACCAACTTGTGCTTGAGGAGGCACAATATAGGCTAATGTCTTAACACAGCTTCTAAAAAGGCACAATGGCAACCATGCATAGAGGGGCTAACAGATTTATGACACCTCATAAAAAGCTACTTTTCAATAATTTCATTTTGGATAGCAATAAAGAGTGAATTCTTCAACACAATGCAAGTAGATACTGATAAATCTAGATCAAGTTAGGTGTAGGGTGTCTTCTCTATTGCATTTCATTTGTGTCACGATTGGTAAATAATTTTGAATTCAATCTTGCCCAATGGTGTAAAGGGATGCTCGGTGTCAGTTGATCACTTGTCTTGGCCCCTTCAATCTTCATTTTTGCATGGCAAAAGATCTCCACCATTGGCTTTTTGGATTGATTTGGAAAGGCAACGTAATAACCATATTGAAAGAAGCTAAGAGATTTATTGTACATCATTAAAAGTTTCTTTTTCAGAAATTACATTTTGGGCAGCAATAAACCATGAATTCTTTTGGACCAACAAATCTAGATTTAGTTAGTCTAAAGGTTATCATTGGGAATGCATAAGAATGTGTCACAATCAACAGAATTTTGAATTTAACCGGACCTACTTACGCTTGAGAAGGCATAATGCAAGATAATGTCTTAACACGCTTCTAAAAAGGCATAATGACAACCATCCATAGAGGGGCTAACAGATTCATGACACCTCATTAAAAGCTACTTTTCAAGAATTTTGTTTTGGATAATAATAAACAGTGAATTCTTCAGCATAATGCAAGTAGATGCTGATAAATCTAGATTAAGGCAGGTGAAATGGTGTCATCTCTATTGCATTTGAATTGTGTCATGATCGATAAATAATTTTGAATTCAATCTTACCCAGTGGTGTTGGAGTAGGCTTAGCGACAGCTGATCGCTTGTCTCGGCTTCCTGAGCCTTCATTTTTGCCTGGCAATTGATTTCCACCATTGGTAGTTTGGATTGATTTTGAAAGGCAATGGGACAACAATATTGAAAGAAGCTAAGAGATTTATTGTGTATCAGTAAAAGTTACTTTTCAGAAATTTCACTATGGGTGGCAGTAAACCATGAATTCTTTTGGACCAACAAATCTAGATTAAGTCAGTCTAAAGGTTATTGTTATGAATGCATTAGAATGTGTCGCAATCAACAGAATTTTGAATTTAACCTGACCTACTTGCGCTTGAGTAGGCACAATACAGGCTAATGTCTTAACAGAGCTTCTCAAAAGGCAGGATGACAACCATGCATATAGAGGGGCTAAAAGATTTATCACACCTCGTTAAAATCAAATTTTCAAGAATTTCATTTTGGATCACAATAAACAATGAATACTTTTACACATAGCAAGCAAATACTAATAAATCTAGATCAAGGTTGACGAAATGGTGTCATATCTATTGCCTATGTATTGTCTCATGATCGATAAGTAATTTTGAATTCAATCTTACCCAGTGGTGTTGGAGTAGACTTGGTGCCAGCTGATCGCTTGTCTCGGCCTCTTGAGTCTTCATTTTTGCCTGGCAGTTGATTTCCACCATTGGCATTTTGGATTGACTTTGAAAGGCAATGTAACAACGATATTGAAAGAAGCTAAGAGATTTATGGTACATCATTAAAAGTTACTTTTCAAAAATTTCTCTTTAAGTGGCAATAAACCATGAATTCTTTTGGACCAATAAATCTAGATTTAGTCAGTGCAAAGGTTATCATTGGGAATGAATTAGAATTTGTCACAATCAAGAGAATTTTGCATTTAACCTGACCTACTTGCGCTTGAGAAGGTACAATGCAAGCTAATGTCTTAACACATCATCTAAAAAGCCATAATGGCAACCATAGAGGGAGGGGCTAACAGATTTATCACACCTCATTAAAAGCTACTTTTCAAGAATTTCATTTTGGATCACAATAAACTTGAATTCTTCTGCACAATGTAAGCAGATACTGATAAATCTAGATCAAGGTAGGTGAAATGTTGTCATCTCTATTGCATTTGAATTGTGTCGTGATCGATAAATAATATTGAATTCAATCTTACCTGGTGGTGTTGGAGTAGGCTCGGTGTCGGTTGATTGCTTGTTTAGGCCTCTTGAGTCCTCATTTTTGCCTAGCAATTGATTTGCATCATTGGCATTTTGGATTATTTTGAAAGGCAATGAAATAACAATATTGAAAGGAGCTAAGAGATTTATCATACATCACTAAAAGTTACTTTTCAGAATTTTCACTTTGGGTGGCAATAAACCATGAATTCTTTTGGACCAACAAATATAGATTTTGTCAGTCCAAAGGTTATCACTAGGAATGCGTCAGAATGTGTCATAATCAATAAAATTTTGAATTTAACCTAGCTTACTTGTGCTTGAGGATGCACAACGCAACCTAACGTCATAACAGAGCTTCTCAAAAGGCACAATAACAATCAAGCATAGAGGGGTAACAGATTTATCATACCTTGTTAAAAGCTACTTTTCAAGAATTTCATTTTGGATAAAAATAAATAGAGAAGTCTTTTGTACATAGTAAGCAAATACTGATAAATCTAGATCAAGGTTGGTGAAATGGTGTCATTACTATTGCATTTGAATTGTTCCATGATCGATAAGTAATTTTGAATTCAATCTTACCTAGTTGTATTGGAGTAGGCATGGTGTCGGTTGATCGCTTGTCTCGGCCTCTCGAGTCTTCATTTTTGCCTGGTAATTGATTTCCACCATTGGCACTTTGGATCGATTTTGAAAGGTAATGTAACAACGATAGGGGAAGAAGCTAAGAGATTTATCGTACATCATAAAAAGTTCCTTTTCAAAAATTTCTCTTTAAGTGGCAAAAAACCATGAATTCTTTTGGACCAATAAATCTAGATTTAGTTAGTCCAAAGGTTATCATTGGGAATGCATTAGAATGTGTCACAATCAACAAAATTTTGAATTTAACCGGAGTTACTTGCGCTTGAGAAGGCACAATCCAAGCTAATGTCTTAACACACTTCTAAAAAGGCATAATGACAACCATGCATAGACAGGCTAATAGATTTATGACACCTCATTAAAAGCTACTTTTCAAGAATTTTGTTTTGGATAGTAATAAACAGTGAATTCTTCAGCACAATGCAAGTAGATACTGATAAATCTACATTAAGGTAGGTGAAATGGTGTCATCTCTATTGCATTTGAATTGTGTTGTGATCGATAAATAATTTTGAATTCAATCTTACCTGGTGGTGTTGGAGTACACTCGGTATCAGCTGATCGCTTGTCTCGACCTCTTGAGTCCTCATTTTTGCCTGGCAATTGATTTCCACCATTAACATTTTGGATTTATTTTGAAAGGCAATGAAACAACAATATTGAAAGAAGCTGAGAGATTTATTGTACATTAGTGAAAGCTACTTTTCAGAGTTTTCACTTTGGGTGGTAATAAACCATGAATTCTTTTGGACCAACAAATCTAGATTTTGTCAGTCCAGAGGTTATCGTTGGGAATGCATCAGAATGTGTCACAATCAATAGAATTTTGGATTTAACCTGACCTACTTGCACTTGAGGAGGCACAATGCAACCTAATGTCTTAACAAAGTTTCTCAAAAAGCACAATGCCAACCAAGCATAAATGGGCAACAGATTTATCACACCTCGTTGAAAGCTACTTTTCAAGAATTTCATTTTGGATAGTAATAAATAGTGAATTCTTTTGCACAAAGGAAGCAAATATTGATAAATATAGATCAACGTAGGTGAAACGGTATCATCTCAATTGCATTTGAATTGTGTCATGATCGATAAATAATTTTGAATTCAATCTTACCCGGTCGTGTTAGAGTTGGCTCGGTGTTGGCTGATCGCTTGTCTCGGCCCCTTAAGTCTTCATTTTTTTCTGCAAATTGATTTTCACGATTGGCAATTTGGATAGATTTTGAAAGGCAATGTAACAACAATATTGAAAGAAGCTAAGAGACTTATCATGTATAAGTGAAAATTACTTTTCAAGAATTTCACTTTGGGTGGCAATAAACCATGAATTCTTTTGGATCAACAAATCTCGATTTAGTAAGTCTAAAGGTTATCATTAGGAACGCATAAGAATGTGTCACAATCAACAGAATTTTGAGTTTAACCTAACCTACTTGCACTTGAGGGGGCACAATACAGGCTAATGTCTTAACGTAGCTTCTCAGATGGCACAATGACAGCCATGCATGGAGGGGCTACAAGATTTTTCCAACCTCGCTAAAAGCTACTTTTCAAGCATTTCATTTTGGATAGCAATAAACAGTGAATTCTTTTGCACATAGGAAGCAAATACTGATAAATCTAGATCAAGGTAGGTGAAACGGTGTCATCTCAATTGCATTTGAATTATGTCATGATCAATAAATAATTTTGATTTCAATCTTACCAGGTGGTGTTGGAGTGGGCTCAGTGTTGGCTGATCGCTTCTCTCGGCCCCTTAAGTCTTCATTTTTGCCTGCAAATTGATTTTCACGATTGGCAATATGGATAGATTTTGAAAGCCAATGTCATAACAATATTGAAAGAAGCTAAGAGATTTATCATGTATCAGTCAAAATTACTTTTCAGAAATTTCACTTTGGGTGGCAATAAACCATGAATTCTTTTGGACCAACAAACCTAGATTTAGTCCGTCTAAAGGTTATCGTTAGGAGTGCATAAGAATGTGTCACAATCAACAGAATTTTTAATTGACCCCGGCCTACTTGCTCTTGAGAGGGCACAATGCACGCTAATGTCTTAACAGAGCTTTTGAAAAGGCAAAATAACAACAAAGCATAGAGGGGTAACAGATTTATCACACCTTATTAAAAGCTACTTTTCAAGAATTTCATTTTGGATAGCAATAAACAGTGAATTCTTTTGCACACATGAAGCAAATCCTGATAAATCTAGATCAAGGTAGGTGAAACGGTGTCATCTCAATTGCATTTGAATTGTGTCATGATCAATAAATAATTTTGATTTCAATCTTACTAGGTGGTGTTGGAGTGGGCTCGGTGTTGGCTGATCGCTTCTCTCGGCCCCTTAAGTCTTCATTTTTGCTTCCAAATTGATTTTCACGATTGGCAATTTGGATAGATTTTGAAAGGCAATGTAACAACAATATTGAAAGATGCTAAGAGATTTATCATGTATCAGTCAAAATTACTTTTCAAGAATTTCACTTTAGGTGGCAATAAACCATGAATTCTTTTGGATCAACAAATCTCGATTTAGTCAGTCTAAAGGTTATCATTAGGAACGCATAAGAATGTGTCACAATCAACAGAATTTTGAGTTTAACCTGACCTACTTGCACTTGAGGGGGCACAATGCAGGCTAACCGCTTAACATAGCTTCTCAAAGGGCACAATGATAACCATGCATAGAGGGGCTAAAAGATTTTTCTCACCTCGCCAAAAGCTACTTTTCAAGCATTTCATTTTGGATAGTAATAAACAGTGAATTGTTTTGCACACAGGAAGCAAATACTGATAAATCTAGATCAAGGTAGGTGAAACGATGTCATCTCAATTGCATTTGAATTGTGTCATGATCAATAAATAATTTTGATTTCAATCTTACCAGGTGGTGTTAGAGTGGGCTCAGTGTTGGCTGATCGCTTGTCTTGGCCCCTTAACTCTTCATTTTTGCCTGCAAATTGATTTTCACGATTGGCAATATGGATAGATTTTGAAAGCCAATGTCATAACAATATTGAAAGAAGCTAAGAGATTTATCATGTATCAGTAAAAATTACTTTTCAGAAATTTCACTTTGGGTGGCAATAAGCCATGAATTCTTTTGGATCAACAAATCTCGATCTAGTCAGTCTAAAGGTTATCATTAGGAACGCATAAGAATGTGTCACAATCAACAGAATTTTGAGTTTAACCTGACCTACTTGCACTTGAGGGGGCACAATGCAGGCTAATGTCTTAACATAGCTTCTCAAATGACACAATGACAACCATGCATGGAGGGGCTTAAAGATTTTTCTCACCTCGCTAAATGCTACTTTTCAAGCATTTCATTTTTGATAGCAATAAACAGTGAATTGTTTTGCACATAGGAAGCAAATGCTGATAAATCTAGATCAAGGTAGGTGAAACGGTGTCATCGCAATTGCATTTGAATTGTGTCATGATCAATAAATAATTTTGATTTCAATCTTACCAGGTGGTGTTGGAGTGGGCTCAGTGTTGGCTGATCGCTTCTCTCGGCCCCTTAAGTCTTCATGTTTGCCTGCAAATTGATTTTCACGATTGGCAATATGGATAGATTTTGAAAGCCAATGTCATAACAATATTGAAAGAAGCTAAGAGATTTATCATGTATCAGTAAAAATTACTTTTCCGAAATTTCACTTTGGGTGGCAATAAGCCATGAATTCTTTTGGATCAACAAATCTCGATCTAGTCAGTCTAAAGGTTATCATTAGGAACGCATAAGAATGTGTCACAATCAACAGAATTTTGAGTTTAACCTGACCTACTTGCACTTGAGGGGGCACAATGCAGGCTAATGTCTTAACATAGCTTCTCAAATGACACAATGACAACCATGCATGGAGGGGCTAAAAGATTTTTCTCACCTCGCTAAATGCTACTTTTCAAGCATTTCATTTTTGATAGCAATAAACAGTGAATTGTTTTGCACATAGGAAGCAAATGCTGATAAATCTAGATCAAGGTAGGTGAAACGGTGTCATCGCAATTGCATTTGAATTGTGTCATGATCAATAAATAATTTTGATTTCAATCTTACCAGGTGGTGTTGGAGTGGGCTCAGTGTTGGCTGATCGCTTCTCTCGGCCCCTTAAGTCTTCATTTTTGCCTGCAAATTGATTTTCACGATTGGCAATATGGATAGATTTTGAAAGCCAATGTCATAACAATATTGAAAGAAGCTAAGAGATTTATCATGTATCAGTCAAAATTACTTTTCAAAAATTTCACTTTGGGTGGCAATAAACCATGAATTCTTTTGGACCAACAAACCTAGATTTAGTCAGTCTAAATGTTATCGTTAGGAGTGCATAAGAATGTGTCACAATCAACAGAATTTTTAATTGACCCCGGCCTACTTGCTCTTGAGAGGGCACAATGCACACTAATGTCTTAACAGAGCTTCTGAAAAGGCAAAATAACAACAAAGCATAGAGGGGTAACAGATTTATCACACCTTATTAAAAGCTACTTTTCAAGAATTTCATTTTGGATAGCAATAAACAGTGAATTCTTTTGCACACAAGAAGCAAATCCTGATAAATCTAGATCAAGGTAGGTGAAACGGTGTCATCTCAATTGCGTTTGAATTGTGTCATGATCAATTAATAATTTTGATTTCAATCTTACCAGGTGGGGTTGGAGTGGGCTCAGTGCTGGCTGATCGCTTCTCTCGGCCCCTTAACTCTTCATTTTTGCCTGCAAATTGATTTTCACGATTGGCAATATGGATAGATTTTGAAAGCCAATGTCATAACAATATTGAAAGAAGCTAAGAGATTTATCATGTATCAGTAAAAATTACTTTTCCGAAATTTCACTTTGGGTGGCAATAAGCCATGAATTCTTTTGGATCAACAAATCTCGATCTAGTCAGTCTAAAGGTTATCATTAGGAACGCATAAGAATGTGTCACAATCAACAGAATTTTGAGTTTAACCTGACCTACTTGCACTTGAGGGGGCACAATGCAGGCTAACCGCTTAACATAGCTTCTCAAAGGGCACAATGATAACCATGCATAGAGGGGCTAAAAGATTTTTCTCACCTCGCCAAAAGCTACTTTTCAAGCATTTCATTTTGGATAGTAATAAACAGTGAATTGTTTTGCACACAGGAAGCAAATACTGATAAATCTAGATCAAGGTAGGTGAAACGATGTCATCTCAATTGCATTTGAATTGTGTCATGATCAATAAATAATTTTGATTTCAATCTTACCAGGTGGTGTTAGAGTGGGCTCAGTGTTGGCTGATCGCTTCTCTCGGCCCCTTAAGTCTTCATTTTTGCCTGCAAATTGATTTTCACGATTGGCAATATGGATAGATTTTGAAAGCCAATGTCATAACAATATTGAAAGAAGCTAAGAGATTTATCATGTATCAGTAAAAATTACTTTTCAGAAATTTCACTTTGGGTGGCAATAAACCATGAATTCTTTTGGATCAACAAATCTCGATTTAGTCAGTCTAAAGGTTATCATTAGGAACGCATAAGAATGTGTCACAATCAACAGAATTTTGAGTTTAACCTGACCTACTTGCACTTGAGGGGGCACAATGCAGGCTAATGTCTTAACATAGCTTCTCAAATGGCACAATGACAACCATGCATGGAGGGGCTAAAAGATTTTTCTCACCTCGCTAAAAGCTACTTTTCAAGCACGTCATTTTTTATAGCAATAAACAGTGAATTGTTTTGCACATAGGAAGCAAATGCTGATAAATCTAGATCAAGGTAGGTGAAAGGGTGTCATCTCAATTGCATTTGAACTGTGTCATGATCAATAAATAATTTCAATTTCAGTCTTACCCGGTGGTGTTTGAGTGGGCTCAGTGTTGGCTGATCGCTTGTCTCGACCCCTTAAGTCTTCATTTTTTCCTGCAAATTGATTTTCACAATTGGCAATTTGGATAGATTTTGAAAGGTAATGTAACAATAATATTGATGTATCAAGAAATATTAGTTTTCAGAAATTTCACTTTGGATGGCAATAAAGCATGAATTCTTTTGGACCAACAAATCTAGATTCAGTTAGTATAAAGGTTATCGTTAGGAATGCATAAGAATGTGTCACAAGCAACAGAATTTTGAATTTAACCTGACTTACTTGCGCTTGAGGGGGCACAATGCAAGGTAATGTCTTAACATAGGTTCTTAAAAGGCACAATGACAACCATGCATAGAGGGGCTAAAAGATTTTTCTCACCTTGCTAAAAGCTACTTTTCAAGAATTTTATTTTGGATCGCAATAAATAGAAAATTCTTTTGCACATAGCAAGCAATTACTGATAAATCTAGATCAAGGTAGGTGAAATGGTGTCCTCTCTATTGCATTTCAATTGTGTTATGATTGATGAATAATTTCAATTCCATCTTGCCTAGTGGTGCTAAGGGATGCTCGATGTCAGCTGATTGCTTCTCTTGGCCTCTTGAGTTTTCATTTTTGCCTGGCAATGGAATTTCACCATTGGCGTTTTGGATTGATTCGGAAACGTAGTGTAACAACCATATTGAAAGGAGCTTAGGGATTTATCGTACTTCATTAAAAGTTACTTTTCAGATATTGCACTCTGGGCAGCAATAAACCATGAATTCTTTTGGACCAACAAATCTAGATTTAGTCAATCCAAAGGTTATCGTTGGGAATGCATTAGAATGTGTTACAATCAAGAGAATTTTGAATTTAACCTGACCTACTTACGCTGAAGGAGGCACAATGCAAGCTAATGTCTTAATAGGGCTTCTCAAAAGTCGCAATAACAACCATGCATGGAGGGGTAATAGATTTATCACATCTCGTTAAAAGCTACTTTTCAAGAATTTCATTTTGGATAGCAATAAACAGCGAATTCTTTTGCACATAGCAAGCAAATCCTGATAAATCTAGATCAAGGTAGGTGAAATAGTGTCATCTCAATTGCAGTTGAATTGTGTCATGATCGATAAACAATTTTGAATTTAATCTTACCCGATGGTGTTGGAGTGGGCTCAGTGTTGGCTGATCGCTTGTCGCAGCCCCTTAAGTCTTCATTTTTGCCTACATATTGATTTTCGCGATTGGCAATTTGGATAGGTTTTGAAAGGCAATGTAACAACAATATTGAAAGAAGCTAAGAGGTTTATCATGTATTTGTAAAAATTGCTTTTTAGAGATTTCACTTTGGGTGGCAATAAACCATGAATTCTTTTGGACCAACAAATCTCGATTTAGTTAGTCTAATGGCTATCGTTAGGAATGCATAAGAATGTGTCACAATCAATAGAATTTTTAGTTTAACCCGACCTACTTGCGCTTGAGGGGGCACAATGCAGGTTAATTTCTTAACATAGCTTCTCAAAAGGCATAATGACAACCATGCATGGAGGGGCTAAAAGATTTTTCTCACCTCGCTAAAAGCTACTTTTGAATAATTTCATTTTAGATAGCAATAAACAGTGAATTCTTTTGCACATAGCAAGCAAATACTAATAAATCTAGATCAAGATAGGTGAAATGGTGTCCTCTCTATTGCATTTCAATTGTGTCATGATTGATGAATAATTTTCAATTCCATCTTGCCTAGTGGTGTTGGGGGACTCTCAGCGTCGGCTGATCGCTTCTCTCGGCCCCTTGAGTCTTCATTTTTTCCTGACAATTGATTTCCACCATTGGCATTTTGGATTGATTCGAAAAGCCAGTGTAACAACCATATTGAAAGGAGCTAAGGGATTTATCGTATTTCATTAAAAGTTACTTTTCAGAAATTACACTCTGGGCAGTAATAAACCATGAATTCTTTTGGACCAATAAATCTAGATTTAGTCAATCCAAAGGTTATCGTTGGGAATGCATTAGAATGTGTCACAATTGTAACGTCTTGAGTTTTATCGGGTTTTAATAACCTCTTTTGGTTGATTTTGAGGATAGATTAGTGATATAACCTTGATCTTGGTGTTTAGGTTGGAATTGAGGTATGTTGGAGGAATAGGTGAACAGACCCCTCTTAGGGTTTGTTCACCATGGCGAACCGAGAGTTCCAGGGGGTGTCTTTTCGGGAAGGTTTGGCCACGGCGAAATCAGAGGGATGCCGCGACGAAGTTGTTCAGGTGAGCAAGGTTTCCCTCTCGAGAAGGTCTCGCCGTGGTGAAATTAGGGCATGTCGTGGCGAAGGTTTTCTGGGCAAGCGAGAGTTTTCTCTCGGGAAGCTTTCGCCGCGGTGAATATTGGAGTTCGTCACGACAAAGTCAAGTTTTCAGGTGAGTAATCCCTCTTGGCATTAGTTCACCGCGGCGAAGGGGGTCGAATCTATATAGTCGCGGGGAGAGGTCAGATGTGCGGAAATTAGAAAATCTGAAGGGAGAGAGAGAGGCTCTGCTAGGGTTTCAAATTTCTGGCTTGGAGGGGGCATTTCTAAGGATCCATTACCTCAAGTAAGTGATTTTAACCTCTAATCTACTTTCTTTCTTGGAATTTCTGAGGATTTATAGTGAAACTCTAGAGTTTTCTAGGTTGTTATGGAATTGAGGTTTTTGACCGATTGTTTTGAGTTTAATTGATTGTTTTGGGTTAGTCTAAGTATTTAATCGGTGTAGTTTTCTTGGATTTAAAGAACTTGAGTTTTTGAAATTAGGGTTTATGGAAATGGGAGGTTTGTGATTGAGGATGATAATGTGGAGGTTGATTTTGAGTTTTGTTATTTGGGTTATGTTAAGGAGGGTTAAATTAGATGTTTAATCGGTTTAGAATGTTGTTAAGACTTCAATTGTTCAAATGAGATGTTTGGATGTTGAATTCCTATAGTGAGTCCTTGAGGTTATGAATTTTAATTGATGTTTGGAAAGGAATTAAGGTTTTAATGGATTTTTATGACTTTGGGGTGTTGCCTTGATAGTTATACCCTTTTTAGTTGGGTAGAGTTTTGGTTGGAGCTAGGAATTTTGTGTCCCCAAGTGTTGTTTTAGCCACATTATTAGTTGAAAGTTAATACATGTTGGTTGTGTGCTTTTATAGACTAATTGTGAGCCTTGTTGGTGCACAGGGTCGTGTTATTGGTTTGTTATTCCTTGCTCAGGCGAGAGGTAACCACTTTCCAATCCTTTTTACATGCTTTTGTGGTATTGTGAGTGGATTTATGTTTTATGCTCTGTGTAACAAATTGTGTTCAGATTGTATGTTGTATATTGAAAAGGAAAACCATCTTGTAGGGTTTCGATTGATATGGAATGAATTTTTGAACTTGCAAAAGATAGGCCACTGAAAGAAGTTAATTGTGAAATGATTATTTACTCTTTGATTACGGTTTGAGCATGATGCATGAATTGGGAATTGATGAGAGTTTTGATAGTTACTACCACGTGGTAAGGCCTCCATTAATGCATGATGGCTGGCTCTTTACGTCCCCCGTAGTGAGGGATAGGCCTTTTGGCTCCTTACGTCCCCTAGAGTGAGGGATAGGCCTTTTATGGCTCCTTACGTCCCCCATAGTGAGGGATAGGCCGGGTTCGGCTCTTAAAAATCCCCCAAATTGAGGGATATGGTTAATGAGATTGCATAATGGCACTTGCATGACTTGTCGTGGCTAGCATTTATAATATTACTTGTGAACTGCCCCACTTGACACCTCACGAGCACCTATTTAGTTGTATCTTGAATTGGAAAGGCTGGTTACTGGGACGTTGTCTCACCCCGTGGTTTACAATGTTTTCAGGTGAAGGTTTTGGGCATGTGTCATCGAGAAGAGACGCAGAGGCTTGAGCTTGGTTAGCTTTAGGCCTCTAGCCCTTGTATATGTATAGCTAGTTGTATATTGCCACATTTAGGGCCCTTTTTGAAACATTTTGATTGCCCGGCCTTATTGTAAACTGGAGGGAATGTTATCTCCTTATTTTGGTTGGCTGGAGGCCATTTCTAGCGTCTTATGAAACTTTGACTTATTTTGTTGGAAACCATTTGGATGGGCTGATGTTGATGTCTTTTGTTACCCGGACCGGAGGCTCGGAGGCCCAATGGATGTTAATGAATGATTTTAGTTGCATGCAACAGAGTTTGAGTTTGAACCGAGTTTAAATGTTAATTTCTAAAATTATGCAATTTCTTTCTACTATGGTAAGTTTGTTGTAACAGCTTTCCTTTTCTACCATAGTAGTGATTTGATGACGAGTTTATAATGTTTTGAGGTTAAGGGTTTTACAACAATCAAGAGAATTTTGAATTTTATTCTGACCTACTTATGCTTGAGAAGGCACAATGCAAGCTAATGTCTTAACACAACATCTAAAATGGCACAATGGCAACCATGCATAAAGGGGCTAACAGATTTATCACACCTCATTAAAAGCTACTTTTCAAGAATTTCATTTTGAATAGTAATAAACAGTGAATTCTTCTGCACAATGCAAGCAGATACTGATAAATGTAGGTCAAGGTAGGTGAAATGGTATCACCTCTATTGCATTTGAATTATGTCATGATCGATAAATAATTTTGAATTCAATCTTACCTAGTGGTGTTGGAGTAGGCTCGATGTCGACTGATCGCTTGTCACGGCCTCTTGAGTCTTCATTTTTGCCTGGCAATTGATTTCCACCATTGGCATTTTGGATTGATTTTGAATGGCAATGTAACAACAATATTGAAAGAAGCTGAGGGATTTATCGTACATCAATAAAAGTTACTTTTCAGAAATTTCACTTTGGGTGGCAATACGAAGTCCATGAATTCTTTTGGATATAGCATACAAAGTCGAAATCTAGATTTTGTCCAAAAGTTATCCTTCATAATGCATTTGAATTGTACCATGATCAACAAATAATTTTGAATTTAACCTGACCTAATTGTGCTTGAAAAGGCACAATGCTTGCTAATGGCTTGCCACGGCGTCTCACAATTCGTAGTAACAAATAACTTTAAATTTAACCTTACCTAGTTGTACTTGAGCGTGAGAAGGCACAGTAGAGGCTAATTGCTTGGCTTGGCTTCTTGAGGGTGGCTTGTTGACCGGCAAAAGATTCCCACCATTAGCGATTTGCCTAGAGTCTGCAAGGCATAGTAACAACCATATTGAAGGAGGCTAACAAATTTATCATGTTTTATTGAAAGTTAATTTTCATGTATTTCATTTGTTACCTGTTTAGTTCTTTATTTCTTGAAACGTACAAATTATATTCTTAATAAGCATAGTTTTTCATTTCAAAACGTAAATGCTTTTGTTTTTGGGTTAAGGTCTAATTTTTTCCGGAAATTTTTCACATAAAATTTGTGAGTGTTTGGAATAAGTGCTAAAAGAAGGAGCAGATTTGCCTTGACTATTAAAAACTAACGTTAACGGTTAAGGATGGCACGGCTTTTTTTTTTTTTTTAAGCATTTCTAGGGTAATATTGATCTGAAAAAAGTTCCAAATAATCCACAATTCCTACACAAAAAAATTTCGAGGCAAACTTGGTCATTAACCCATTTTGCTTTTTATTAAGATTTAGTAATTTCTTTACGTAGATATATGAAATCTTTAAGCGTCCATCAGATCAATTGATCAATTGCAGTGTGGTGTAAACAACAAAAACATTTTTTGGAATGCACACATGGGTATATCTGTTCAAAACAGGGTCAGTTATATATACAGATCGGGACAAGGATTTTGCTCAGCCCATTCCACCTATTTCGATGACCTAGTGGGCCGACCCGAGCAGATCCAACCTATATATCCATTTTATTTACTGTACATCAGCCATCGATCTGATGAAACAGGGACAGAGGACGGTTATAACCCCCTGCCTTCAATTAAGGGGGAAAAAATATTTACGCATGCAGATATATTATTCCACACAATCAGTCCAACCCAACCTATGCAATAATCATGAATTATATGGCATTATAATTGAAGGAGATACTCATAGTGGTGCTGGCCTCGTTCTTACAACCTGAGAACTTATCGAAGAAGGAGACAAAGGGGTATGGATAATTTTTATGCAAAATACTAATCTCCGAACATAAAGTAAGATTAAATTAAATGCGGAATTCCAAAATCTTTCCGAAACGTGCTCCCACATTACAACTCCGCAAGAGCCAGGCCCCAGTTTCGTACTCACCCATTTCCACACTATCAGTGCGACCTTCACTTTGCACGAGGTGCTTACCTTCTAAAATAATCATGTACTACTTCTATCCTTAATATAAGATTTAATTATTAATTTGATTTGATCTTAAATATAAGACTTATTTATCATATTTATCAATTTTTTTTAAATTACTTTTATGGATACTCTCTCAACCATAACCAAGCAGAAGAGGGAGATGAGATATTAAGAAAGATAATTATGATATTTTAGGAAAAACATGTTATATTTTTTATAATTAACTAACTTACATAACTTTCTTAGTCTAATCAAATTAGTTAAATAGATCTTATATTAAGGATTGGAGGATTATTATATGGAATTATACCTGAAGGAGATACCGAGAGTTGTGCTGGTCTTTAAAATGATCCAAGAAGGAAAGGAAAGGGTATGGGTCATTTTTATGTAAAATACTGATTGTAAAAGTAAAATTAAGTAACACGAAGAAGAGGCAAGAGTAGAGATATTTGCTTGTCTTTCTCTCTCTTGTGAAATAGATCCTGCAACAAAAACCTCAAGCTAATCCTTAACAGTACACTGTGCTTGATTCAACGGAAAGAAGTAAAGGGGAGGGATTTTAGTCAAGGGAAGAGGAGGGGAGGGGAGCCACAAAGAGGAGCGGAGGGAGGCGGAAGGGAGGGGAGGGATTTAATGATCTCCTATTTGGATTAATTAGAGGGGAGGGGAGAGAGCAATTTTAATAATACTTTATTTTGTTCTAATGAAAAATTAACTATTTTAACCTCACTTTTTTATTTTGTTAAAATATAACTATACATATAATGCAATTCATCAATTTTAATTTATAAAACATAGTCACACACTTATAGGAAATCAAGATAAAAAGTCATAAATGATAGATTTCAATCAAAGAAAAGACTTTAAACGTGAAAGAAAATACCAATGGCCTCTTAGAATTAGAAGAAAAGGAAAAAAAAAGAGTTTACGAGTGCTCACTAATTTTGGAGACAATTATCTAAGCAACCTCTTGTTAGATATTCAAAAGAACTCTTTTATGTAAAAATATATACGACTGATTAGGGGTTAACAAATCAAAAGAATATATGAGGAATTAAAATATTATCTCTCATTTCTCCTCCAAAAAACCTTACTTTTGGAAAGGAGGTTACAAGGGAAGAGGAGGAGAGAAGAGCCTCTCCCCTTTTTTAAAAATATTTTAACCAAACAAGGGGAGGAGAGTTACTCCCCTTCCCTCCTAAAAAATTACACTTCCTAAAAAATTACACCAGCCAAACAAAGAAGGGCTCCCCTCCGAAAAGCTTGTACCAAACGTAGTGTAAAAGAAAGAATAGCAAAAAAGGCTTTACCTCTGAGTGATCTGCTCCTTCTCTTTCTACATTTGAAGTAAATCGCACAAAGCCCCACCACGATCACCGAAAGAAACACACTTCCTCCAATTATTCCGTACTTAGAAGAACTGGACGGAGTCGGCGGCGGCTCCGTCTGGTACCGAGGCACTTCTTGACCGTGAAGGACAATGAGGTGATCCGAAGCAGCGAGTACGAGAACGAGAGTAAGGGGCCGCAGCTCCCAAGAATACATGCTGGAATGGAGACTATGCAGGCGCAAGCAATAATCTGAAGCAGGAGGCCGAGAGCGAAGAATTGCCGAACTAGTGCTCCAGTAAGGCAGCAACCAACAAAGGAGACATCGATCTCCCTACAACCATTTTACAGCCTTTTTCTCTTCTGTCCTCACTCGGTTCAAGCTTGCTTTTCCAGGAAAATGCCCCACTTTTCCACCACTCGCCACAAATTATTTGTTAATGCTCCTTTGGAATCATTCACCTAACTATTTATGAGCATATTTTAAACAAAACTCTTCTTCTTTGGTATTTATTTCATAAACGGTAAATTATAATTGAAATGTTGTTTATAAACTATTATAAGAATTAATTTAAGAAAAATAGATAAATACGAGAGATAAAATAAAAAACCACATTAAATTAGTTTTTATATTAAAATAATAGTTGTATAGTTTGTTATATTTTCAGTTATATATACCAGTTTTTCATCAATGAGAAGTCAGTCAAATTTTATCATTCGAGTGGCTCCGACCTACTCCCAGCCACCCTTTTGGACTGGATCCCGGCATTGACTCGCGAGTCAAGGCCGTTATTAAAAAAACCAAAAGGGCAAACAGTCTCACTCACTAAAGCTAGGGAAAAAAACTAATCCATGTGTCTCGCAAGCCCCCTCAAGATCTGTCCCTCAGATGCAAAGATGAAAGTAAAAGGAATAATATTGAAGAAGAGAAAAGAAGTCAGGCCAAGAAAAACAAGAAGAGAAAAGAAGAGGAAGAAGTTATCATAAAAGAAAATTAAATCTAACAACAGGATCGAAACTACATTATTAGAGAAAATGAGAGGAAAAAATCCAATATTTTTCTACAGCTTTCATTAGGACATTCTTGGACATGGCTTGTGGAACTTAATTAATATATAATATCTGGAGGAAATCATCAGGGTAAATTGGAAGATTCTAGTTCAACTGTAAATGAAATAGTGCTACTCTCTTTTTCTATGTTAGCTTTTGCTAATTCAAGATCTCTTGTCAAGCAATCTTTTCAGCCAATCTTCTCAGAATCTTAGATAGGTAGAGCATCATCATGCATAAATTCAAAAAGGTCCAAGAAACATGTTTTTGTCTCTGTCTTATTTGCTGGCAGGGCTCTCCACTAATGGAATTTCATTGGAAATGCGTTTCCAAGCCTGGACATCCTTTCTTATCAAGCCATCTGAGAGTTTTTTTGCTTTGGGTATCAACTTCAGCCATTTGCAGTTCAAGGTCACATCCTACCCTGACCATTATTTGTGGGCACACTATTCATCAACATTGCGGCTGCAAAATCATCTTATTTCCTCACTGACTTGGCAGGAAATTCTTGCATTACTTCGTAATTTTTATGTTAATCCTATTTTTCTTCTTTCTTTTGAAGACTTCTCTGGGTTCTTAGATTCTCACTTTTTTTTCCTAGCTGCTTTTGCAGTCAGTAAAACCTCCTTTATTTTAATTTTAATTTCATTTTGCCTTCTTATTAAAAAAGGGGGAAAATCCATTAAAATTAGAACGTGACCATGGCTAGGGATATGCTCGTTAGCTAAACAAAGAGGAAGAAGAGAGACAGGAGCCTGGTCCTCGCTTTTGGTTTTGCAAGAGGAGTCGTCCAAACCGCCGCCCTGTAGAAGCCATCTCCCTTTTGGATTTTTGAGCAACACCCAATGCGGCACCATCAAAAATTTTAAACAAAAGACTATACTTTTTATGCGCCCTTGGGAAGTGAAAATTGAAAAGAAAACCAAAACATGTAGTTGTTGCGGTGAAATGGTATTAAAGAAACTTATTTCAATGAAATGTGTTGGGAGTTGGAATGCAACTTATTATATATGAGCGTGTTCATTTTTATTCTCAAGTTCTGTATTTAAAAATTTTAAATACTATAAAATTTTATGAGATAATCAAAATCAATAAATTTCATAACATATGAAAATTTTGAAAATATATGTATTAGAGTTAGTTTTATATTGTATACAAATTTATTTTTTAGGTAATATAAATGTTTCAATAACTCCTGCACTAAAGAGGAGTATTTTTGGTTAAGATAGAAGTTAAAAAGTCAAATTTAACAATTAACTAACCATTTAAATGAATAAAAATGGAATCCGAAATCTATATGTATATATATAGGAGAGATTTGTATAATTTACGTTTCAAATTTTGAGAAGATTTATATATGTTTTCAAAATAAAAAGGATATTTTTGTGATTTAGGTAAACCGAAAGGACAATTAATGTCTTTTACTTATTTAATTATTGTCTTATTGGTTTGACTGCTCTCTAACTATTTGAATCATGATCTATTAGTCTTTTTGGTTCGAGGTTTGGTCCAACTTTAAAACATTACTTATTATTGTGAGCCCTCCACCTCAGGCTTCTTTACTGATTGCTCCAGCCCTTTTAAAAAGCTTCAAAATAATTAAATTACACAAAGTAAAAAGTAGGTTAAAAATGATTAAAAACAATATATATGTAAGAAAAAATGCAACTTATTTTCTCAAAATATCCTTATTTATAGAAGGTGTGAGTGAGAGAGAATGAGTAAAAAAAATATAAGAAAAAATGAGGTGAAAAAATGGAGAAAGAAATATATAATTAATTAGAGATAAAACAAATAGCCCCCCATGCTTAATAGAGAAACCAAGCTTAGTATAGCTAGAAATCAAATCCGGCGTAGCAATAATTCGGTTTCTATTCAGAGTCCAGACACAATAACACCGAATGATAACGTCAGGAGTAATTTCCAATAAGAAACACAAGAATGTTGGCAATTCCATAAATGTATAAATACGATGAAAAGTGGCAGGCGGCCTCGTAGCATCATAAACACGTGCAGTCAACATTCCTCGTAATATTAACATTAATAAATACAAGAACAATCAATGCCCCTAATCTAATTGTATAATACATCATTACAAAATAAACCAACCAAATTCGGATCCACCCGTTCGCCTCAAGACTCCCAATGTCAATGCTTTCTTTTGTTCAGCAGATGTCTGCTTCCAGGGTGAAACCAGCTTACACTCATTTGAATTACGTTGCTCAAGAGAATCTTACTTCTGAAAAAATTTGGATTGTTGAAATCAACGAACAAACCAATTTGTACGCTGAATCTGCAAAATCTACCAATAAATTATATTTACCAACGACTCAGGTGTTCGTTTTTTGTGAAGGAAGCAACAAACGAAGTGCCATTGTAAAACACCCAATTTTATTCGGGCCCCACAAGAAATATTAAATGTAAATGAAACAAATTAAAAAAAAAAAGAAATGAAACAAATAAAAAAAAAACGATTAATATCCTCCTTGATTCTTTCTTGGAAGGTTTGAGAAATCCTCCATATGACAAATTAAAAAAGAAAAATTAAATAAGAATATTCCTCTTACAATAAATGGCAATAAAATGAGGGAAAAAGACAGAAAAATGCACCTCCAACTCCAAAAGCCCAGAAACGTCCGCCTAATTCCACAAATCCCATTTTGGTACCATGAGACCAAATTGGGATTATTATGTGAAAGGAAAAGACCACATTACCCTTCATTTTAAATATTATTTTTAAAATATCACAGCTCCTACTGGCCGGCCGGTCACCGGACCTTCGGCAGCGGCGGTCACTGGAGCTCCGGCGACCAGCCGACAATTGGTCACCGGAGCTCCGGCGGTGAATTTTTTTTTTTGAAAATTTTTACAACTTCAATATAACGGTTAAAAACTTTTGTAATGCTATTAACAACTTCAGTATAGCAATTAACAACAGCTTTTCTAGAAAATTCAACAAACTCCGGCGACCGGAAACAATTATTTTGAAAATTTTTACAACTTCAATATAACCGTTAACAACTTTTGTAATGCCATTCACAACTTCAATATAGCAATTAACAACAGTTTTTCTGGGAAATTCAACAAACTCCGGCGACCGGAAACAATTTTTTTGAAAATTTTTACAACTTCAGTATAGCGGTTAACAACTTTTGTAACCCTATTAACAACTTCAGTATAGCGGTTAACAACAACAAACTTAGGCGACCGGAAACAATTTTTTGAAAATTTTTACAACTTCAATATAACGGTTAACAACTTTTGTAAGCCTATTAACAACTTCAGTATAGTGGTTAACAACAGGTTTTTGAGTTTGTTAAAGGCATTACTGAAGTTATAAAAAAGCCACTTTTTGAATTTTTCAAAAAACTTGTTGTTAACTGCTATATCAAAATTGTTAACCATTATATTGGAGTTGTAAAATTTTCAAAAAAAACGTAATTGTTAACGTTATACTGAAGTTGAAAATTTTTACAACTCCAATATAACGGTTAACAACTTTTATAATGCCATTCACAACTTCAATATAGCAATTAACAACAGCTTTTCTGGGAAATTCAACAAACTCCGGCGACCGGAAACAATTTTTTTGAAAATTTTTACAACTTCAGTATAGCGGTTAACAACTTTTGTAACCCTATTAACAACTTCAGTATAACGGTTAACAACAGGTTTTTGAGTTTGTTAAAGGCATTACTGAAGTTATAAAAATGTCACTTTTTGAATTTAAAAACTTGTTGTTAACTGCTATATCAAAGTTGTTAACCGTTATATTGGAGTTGTAAAAATTTTCAAAAAAACGTAATTGTGAACATTATACTGAAGTTGAAAATTTTTACAACTCCAATATAACCGTTAACAACTTTTGTAATGCCATTCACAACTTCAATATAGTAATTAACAACAGCTTTTCTAGGAAATTCAACAAACTCCGGCGACCGGAAACAATTTTTTTGAAAATTTTTACAACTTCAGTATAGCGGTTAACAACTTTTGTAACCCTATTAACAACTTCAGTATAGCAATTAACAACAGGTTTTTGAGTTTGTTAAAGGCATTACTGAAGTTATAAAAATGTCACTTTTTGAATTTAAAAACTTGTTGTTAACTGTTATATCAAAGTTGTTAACCGTTATATTGGAGTTGTAAAAATTTTCAAAAAAACGT